GTAACCACTACACTACCAGTAGAAGATAGGAGACAGGAAAGAGGCTACTGATGAATTGCTTGTCCTTCTGAGATCATCCTTAAACCTGGTGGTCCAGAGATGCACTATTTCTTTAACGTCTTCTTACAGATGTTCCCAAAGCCCTGGAAAAAAAACTGAACCCTGATGCCATCATTTCTGGGGCCAGCCTGAGTGACTGCTTCCTAGGAGCATGCTGTGAGATGAAGGGACAGGAGTGGAGCACACAGGCTTCCTGAGGCATGCTGGTGAGCTGACTTTTGAAAGTCAGCTTAGAATAAACAGTAAACAGCAAAAATGGATTCCGGACAGCATCTTTGGTAGAAGCCTCTAATTATGCCAAATGTCTGATTCTTTTGAGCTCCTTCACATGACTCATCAGGAAAGAGTAGAACTTCCCATAGGGTTTCCACGGCTGTGCTCTTTATGGGAACAGGATGCCATATCTGTCTCCTGTGGAGCAGCTGGTGGATTGGTCCTGCTGTCCTTTTGGTTAGCATGTCTAACCTCATGTTTAACCAGGGCACCACCATGGATCCTTCATATGAATGAATGTGCAGCTCTGGCCAACTTGATAACACACCATCTTATACTTCATTTTCTCCTTCTTTGACTCATTTTCCTTCTCACTCTTGATTCCTTCAGATTGTACTTCTCCCCACCTTAGGTGGAAGCATGTAATGATTGCCCAAATCTCTATTTTCCAAGAAACACTGGGCTAAAATTGTGTTCTGTAATGAAAGGCAGGATTGTAGCCACCACAAGAGATTTGGAATGAGGATTTGGCCTTATGTAAGTAGGCCCTCTCTCGATAGTATATGGAGTCCTGGTGTGGCACTGTAGGATAAAGCGCTGGACCACGAGGTCGGCTTGAACCAGTAGGTAGTTCAAATCCACCAGCTGATCCTTAGAAACGCAGTACAGGGTTGCTATAGGTCGAAACCAACTTGATTGCACTTAACAATTTAATAGATACTCTGGTAGCGTAGTGGTTACGAATCGGGCTGCGAACCTTAAGGTCAGCGGTTCGAAACTACCAGCTGCTCTGTGGGAGAAAGATGAGGCTTTCTACTCCCGTAAAGATTTACACCCTTGGAAACCCTGTACAGGGTTGCTATGGGTCGGAACCGACTCGACAGCACTTA